TGCCCTGTTGGGCCCTGTTGGTGGCCCTCCAGAGGAAATGGCTGGCCACTGTGTGAGACAGGATGCTGGACTAGATGGACCATTGGTCTGATCCAGCAGGGCTTTTCCAATGTTCTTAGGAAGGAGGAACTGGTTGGCCACTGTGTGAGACGGGATGCTGGACTAGATGGGCCACTGGTCTGATCCAACCGGGCTCTTCTGATGTTCTTAAGGCAGCAACAGTTTACTCTTGTGATCCAAAAAGTGACTGTCGCTTATCCAAAATAAGGGTACAAGTCCAAATTTACTGTCTGTAGACTTTCACTTCTCCAAGACTTTCAAATCAACAATCTGAAGGTGAAAGTGAACATGGATTCTTAATATGAAATGTATTTGGGCATCTACCATGTTCTTATGTCTTAGCTACCTGAACTTAGTCATCCTATTTATTCAATAGTTTTATTAACCACCTTTCTGCCTTGTGGCACTCAAGGTAACTTACTATATAAATAAAACAACAGTTATAAAATCGCATAAAAGACAACAGCATACCATCTCAACCAGGACTGACAATAAATAAAAAACATGCTGCCTTCCTTCCATATGCATCCATAAATACACTTAAGCCCTTCAGGGAACTATCTACTCTACCCCATATGTACATGTGCTGTCAAGTTGCAGTTGACTTCCGGCCACTGCAGCAAGGGGCTTTCAAGGCAAGTGAGAAGCAGAGGTGGTTTTGCCATTGCCTTCCTCTGCAGAGCCTTCCTTGGTGGTCTCCCATCCATAAATACTGACCCTGCTTTTCTTCTGAGATCTGAGGATGATACCGTTCCACCACAACCCAGACCCATTTCTTCTTATTCCTGTCAAAACGGGCCTCTTTTCATTTGGCTATTTATTTTTTTTCTGATTGGAAAGCCCCTAAAATCCTACCAAACAGGGCTACCAACCCACAGCAACCAAGTCAGCCGATCTTTACAAGACAGCTGGCGGCAAGCTCTAGCAAAGCGGTCCTTTGCTTACAGACACCTGGAATTTTAAGTCTGCATTCAGACGCTATAAATCTTTCATAAACCAACCCTGCTTCGCTTCCGAGATCTGAGAAGCGGAGGTGGTTTGCCATTGCCTTCCTCTGCAGAGTCTTCCTTGGTGGTCTCCCATCTAAGTACCAACCCTGCCTAGCTTCCGAGATCTGAGAAGCAGAGATGGTTTGCCCCTGCCTTCCTCTGCAGAGCCTTCC